AATACCTTTCTGAATATTTTCAAGCTTGCTGTTTCCAGAATTGCCTACAGTTAATCTGAACTGTAGTTATGGTTTTTATTAAAGAAACCTTTTGCATTAAAAACTATGTAAATACAGCAGTCAAACATCTGCATTACATTATGCTAGAGATCAAGCAACATGATGCTTGATGTTAGACCTATCCTGCTGAAGACCAAAATCCTCAGTTTTTAGAAAGAAAAGCAAGAAAAGAACAAAAGAAAAGGAAGGCAGACTTAAAAAAATATTTTTCAAGTTAAAATAGCATATTTCTAAAAACAAAATACAAATTCGATGTTAGATTACATCTTTATTAAGTCAATTTTGAAAATAACAAAGTAGGGTGCATGCTTTTCAATTTTCCACCATTGTTTATTATGCAAGAAAGTGAACAAGGAAAAGAGTGAAAAAAGGAAAGGGAGTAGGAAAAATTGTTGGTATTGAAGCCAGGAAATATGTATTTAGTTACTTTCTTGAAATGAATTTGGGAAAAGACTGAAGACTTTCATAATGTGATCAACCAGGTACATCAAAGGTTAGAGATATTGCCCCCTAGTGCTGTAACCCTGAAATGGATTCATTCATTGGCTTAGAGTAGGATTGTTTAGTACTTGTACTTGATTGTTAGAGAAAAATTCCTGTAACCAATTCTACTTTCCTTTGAAGCTTCTTTTGTTTCAAAATTGCCACTTCAAAGGAAAAGCATGATGTAGCATGAGTAATACCCTTATTCAAATCCTGTTATGTATAATATTGAATATAGGGACACTTTATATTTGTATTTACGGTATTAATTTATGTTCCAAACTTAGACTAGCTGTTTTAAATTTGAAGTTGCTTAACAGACATTGTTTCATTCAAACACATTGTGTAGACATGGGAGGTTCTCCATAATAGAAAAATATCTTATGATGCTCAACTTTATATATTATTTTGGTTTTAGTCTAAATATTTAATAGCCACTATAGAAATGAATATTTATAAAATGTATACATTTTATTCTTGGGAGTTGCTATCATATCATGAGCCATTACTCATGATATGCGTAATGCGTGCGGCCGCACGGGTGGTGATGGGAGCGACGTGGCGCTCCCATGTAACACCTCTCCTGCGCGAGCTGCACTGGCTCCCGGTGGTCTTCCAAGTGCGCTTCAAGGTTTTGGTTATCACCTTTAGAGCGCTCCATGGCTTAGGACCTGGTTATTTACGGGACCGCCTGCTACCACCAATAGCCTCCCACTGACCAGTACGCTCCTATAGAGAGGGGCTCCTCCGGGTGCCGTCGGCCAAACAATGTCGACTGGCGGCCCCCAGGGGGAGAGCCTTCTCTGTGGGGGAACCTACTATCTGGAACGAGCTCCCCCCGGAGATACGGAGGATCCCGGATCTGCGTACCTTCCGTCGCGCGCTCAAGACTTTCTTATTTCATCAAGCTGGCCTGACCTAAGTCTTTCCCCTTTTTAAATGGAAATTTTAAATTTGGTTTTAAATTATTGGGGTTTTAAATTTGTTCAGCCAAATTATTTAATTTGTTTTATTTTATTTTAAATTTTGTATTTATATGTTTTATTCTATGGCTGTTTACCGCCCTGAGTCCTTCGGGAATAGGGTGGTATATAAATTCAATAAAATAAAAGTAAATAAATTACAAAAAAACCCTTTGAAAATTATTTCAATGTAGTTCTTGTGACAATGTTGTTCTTTATTTAGGACTGCATGCTGTCAAAACAAAGTCTCATTTAATTAGATGAGACTTTGTGCTTATTTTATGGATGACACTGAAAAGAGAAGAGGTCCAATAAAAAAATTATATTGTACATATAAAACTGATCCATATTTTATTAAACGTAAGTACTCTCCTGACAAATATGAAAATGAGAACTAAGCACCATAAACATGCATTCTTATTGATCAATATAAATTAAGCACCATAATATGAATTTATTTATGTCCTGTTATTTCTTTTAGGATCAATACAGATACATAGATTTATGCTGAGGCTATGTCTTTTCCCTATCTTTAGCCTTTCTCTGCAAAATGAATTTCTTTAGACTGTTTGTATACCCATCTTTTCCTGTGATTACAATATTGGCATGTATTTTCATCTTCTTAATGAATACTAACTTCTCAAGGAAACACCCCTGAGAGAACTTACATAGTTTATTTAGCACATCTTCTCCTAGAAATTTAAGGTGAATTACTCTAGGAATTTTTCAATTTTTAGAATAAAGAAAAGATAAACAATAGAAGGGCCTTGTATGATTATTTGTAGTATGTGATTAATGCTGGGAACTGAATAACAAAATTCTGACCTAAAATTCTGTGCATTTTAAGTTGCTTGGTAATTAATAAACATAATTGAGTCTTTTTGAATTTTTGAAGACTCCAGAATCTAAGATTTGACAAATTATTGTAAATGTGATATATGGTGTCAAGGTAATTTTCACTTACATAGATTATATTATCTTTATTGTCAGAAATTTCAGCTGAATTAACCATCAAGAGGAGATCTGAACACACAAATCACAATTTTCTGGCCAAAAAAAAAATAGCCATGTATGTTATTGCATGCCAAATAAAAACACAAGATACCAAGGACTTCTGTTTGAAACATGGTTTTGTTATCCTCACATGCACTAAACTCAATACCTTTATCATGCTGTCTGATAATGGCTGCTCACAGAATAACAGTATGTATTATTAGCCCTATTCTGTGAGAAAAGCATTACATTTGTGTCTATATAAATATCCATGTATTCCTTTGGGCTTTTTTCCTAAAAATTGTTTCAAGTACAGAGAGTACAGATAGTTAAGGAACAACTATAATTATTATAATTCTGGTTAATTAATAATTATAATTATTCACTTCAATTGGTTCACATTTTTTATTCATATGATGCCAAAGGAACTGAATGACTGCTTAATTTTTTTCAGCTTTGTTGGGCCCCTATACTATATATTACAAATACTACAGATAGTACTGCACGACCATTCATTCAGTAACTGTTCAAGGTTACCTCGGTTCCAGCCACTGCAGTGTTCCTGCAGTCACAAGATTGTGAATAGCTAATGGTTACAACATTGCAACATTCCATCATCTGGGCGTCCTCCTGGACGCACAGCTGTCTTTAGAAGAGCATATGACGGCCATGGCCAGGGGGGCTTTCTATCAGGTTCGCCTGATTCGCCAGTTGCAGCCCTTTTTGGACCGGGACGCCTTGTGCACGGTCACTCACGCCCTTGTCACCTCCCGGCTGGACTACTGTAATGCTCTCTACATGGGGCTCCCCTCGAAGAGCACTCGGAGGCTCCAACTGGTCCAGAATGCGGCTGCGCGGGTGGTTATGGGCGCAACTCGTTGTGCCCACGTGACACCCCTCCTGCGCGAGCTGCACTGGCTCCCAGTGGTCTTCCGGGTGCGATTCAAGATGCTGGTCACCACCTTTAAAGCGCTCGGGTACCTTCGAGACCGACTTCTGCCACCAATAGCCTCCCACCGGCCAGTCCGCTCCCACAGAGAGGGTCTCCTCAGGGTGCCATCGGCCAAGTTATGTCGGCTGGCGACACCCAGGGAGAGGGCCTTCTCTGTGGGAGCCCCTGCCCTGTGGAATGAACTGCCCCCGGAAATGCGTAAGATCTCCGACCTCCGTGTATTTCGCTGTGCCCTCAAGACCCTGCTGTTCCGCCAGGCCGGGCTATGTAATGATTTTAAATTGGGTGCTTTAAATTTTGGGGGTTTTAAATCTGAGCCGAAATTATTTAATAATTTTAATTATTTTTAATTGATGTCTGTCTTTGTGCTTTAAATAGGCTGTACACCGCCCTGAGTCCTTCGGGAGAAGGGTCGTATAGAAATAAAATTATTTATTTATTTATTTTATTTTATTTATTTATTTATTATCACATGATCAGAATTTCTGACATTTCTGGCAAAGTCAATGGGGAAGCCAGAAGGAAGTTGAAGTTTGCAGTCACATGAGGTTCTTGCTTAATGATTCACATCGTCCTCACTTAACGGAGGCAACTGGGACTGCCAAATTATCATTGCTAAGCGACCCAGTCATGTTGTGCTTTACAACTGTGTTGCTTAACAATGGCAATTCTGGTGCCAATCGCCAAGAAAATCGAAGGTCTGCCTGCATATATGAAGCTCCAATACGTAACAGCCTAATGGCATACTACTGTTTTTGCAATTGTTCTTCAAACTTAGGTCCATATTTCTCTGCAGGGCAGTATTGCAGTGTGAGAGGACTTATAAATATACCCAACTCACTATTCTATTTTGGAGTAACAATGTAATAGAGAGTCACGGTGTAGTTTAAGGCACTGTTCCAGGATAATGTGAGTTCTAATGCTGCCTTAGGTACAAAGCCACATGGATAACTTTGGGCCAGTCATTCTCTCTCAGCCCTAAGAAGAAGGTAATGGCAACCCCTTTCTGAACATCCTGCGAAGAAAAAGGCAAGCTGTTGCTAGAAGTCAAGAAAAACTTGATGGCACGAAGAAAAAGAAAAAGCCATTTCAGAGATTGCAGAAAAGCAGTAGGAAATAGTAAGGCAATGAAGTTAAATACATCACTGTATTTCTCTGTACTCTTGAAAAATATTCTTACTTTCACCATATTAACAGACCTCTTCATATATTGTCTTTTAAAAAAAAACTCATTAGCTTGATTCCAACATAACATTCTCACATTTCTTCTCGAACTTCTCATATATTTGTAAAACATATATTTGTTTTACATTCTATGTAACAAACTTATCTGCATGTTTTTTTTAACTTCCTCTCCTTGTTTTATTACACACATTTCTTAAGTAGCCCATTTCCATTGCATTTGACTTTATTCGTTCTGACATTTTCAATTCTCATTTCCATATATAATAAAGTGGACACAATTCTGGCTATATATCTATTTATAAAAAGTCCTGAAACAAGGATCTCATGGAGGAAAAAAAGGTCAAAGAACTTGAAGAAAATCAGTATTCTATATTGAGTCACTATTTTATTGTTCGTTATGTATGCATTGATGCTACAACAACAGAAAAATGAAAATTTTGCTTCAAGGACATCATTATAAATAATATAGCAATCAAATGATGTCAAGCAATGTAATAGATAAAAATGTTTCCGAACATCTATTTTTCAAGGAAAATATGTTCCTTATGTTTTCTTAATATTAAAACAATAACTGGAAGAGACACGGAGACCCATTCTTTTTTTGTTCTGTGACTTACTGAGATAGCAATCTAAAATAAAATAAAAAGGTAATTTTAAAATCTATTTTACTTTTTTTAATGGTGCCAAACTTTGTTTAGATGACAACTAAAATATATAGTTATTGTGATATTATGTATTTTAAAACAATTTACTAGACAAGAAATTTTGCTGTAGAAACTGCCTCAGTTTTATTGAACTGTAAAATCTTTGGGGCCTTCCAGGGGAGGTATGGAGAACTGAAGACAGCTCTGCAAAAGCAGAACTGATGAGAAAGGTAAAGACCAAGGAATTGATGAGTCCTTAGAACCTCTCCAAAGGAAAGGATATAAGATTGACCAAAGGAAAGCTGCTCCTTGCTGAAGAGACCATAGGACAACCTTTTTCTGTATATTAGGTTTGAGTGGGCAGGAAATGATGGGATTAGCCAATTTGTTCGCAACCATGGCAGAGACCTTTAAAAGGCACCAAGTTCGCAAACCTCACTTTCTAATCACTTTCAGAAGTTGCCTATTATCTATTTTAAAGCTATTAGTCTGTTGTAATAAACTATAAAGTTAATGCTATTTGCTAATGCAAGTGGCTCCAGTTTGTATTAATAAGTCAAATTTAAGTGACCTCCTCCTTTAATTGTAATTTTTAGTTCTTTTTGCTTTCCTGTAGAATCTAACTTTCAAGGCTCATTCTATTTTAAAGAGAATTTAAAACAAAAACATTTTCTTACAATTCTTATAATTCATTCCATAATTTTACTTCAATCCATTTGGGAGCTCCATGCATTTTTAACTTTCCAAAATCAAAGTTCAATCTCCATTTTGTTGTTTATTCCAAAATATTTATTTAAATCCTTAAATTTGTATTTAAAACTTCTTTCACTAATCATTGAAAGGAAAGGCACATGTGGTGTAAAACATGTTGTTCCATAGGTCCATAAAGCAGGTAGTCTTTAACTGAGCTGGGAATAATGATTATAAATCATTGTAGTTGTTAAGCAGGTGAACACATAATCCTGATTTTGCAACCTTTTTTGTGATGTCCTTAAGAACACAGCAGTCATTAAGTCAGGGGTGCCAAACGTGCGTCCTCATGGTGTCGTCATGTGACGTATTGGGGCTTTTTTCCCCCTTTGCTAAACCGGGCATGGGTGTGACCAACATGTGACACATCCGGCCCTCGGACTGCAAGTTTGACAGCCTTGCATTAAGCAAATACATTTACCCAATGAGCATTTTTGCCAGAAACCAGAAGAAAACCAAAAGTGGTACTGCACTCCAACACCCAGGGCTAACCCAACATGGTCAATGGTATCAAAGGCCACTGAGAGCTCAAGAAGAGCCAGGATCAATGCACTATCCTCATTTTGATCCCACCAGGGACCATCCAAAAGCACAAGCAATGCTGTTCCTGTCTCATATCTGGGCATACATCCGAGTAGAAGGCGTCCAGATAATCCCACATAGCCAATATGCTTGGCTCAGAATTATCTGTAAAGTCTCTAATATGTTAGCGTTTTTAATTTCTGGCTTGTTTCTTATTCAAATTAACTACACATGCACAATCACATCCTATATGTATTGTTGTGCAATACAATACAATACACTTCATTGGTGCCTATGACATACCTTTTTCTCTTTACATGTACTCTAACCTTCATCCTTAACCAGAAACTTTATTTTACCAAGTTAAGAAAATTTGAAGGTTTACCTACTCTCTACTTGAGCAGCTGCTAAATTCATTTATATCATTTTCTTAAATATTATTTAAAGGCAGCGGTCAAAATTATGTTATTTTCTTCATAGCAATTGGCAGTGTGTGGCAGGTGAAAATTACATTGGTGTCTCAGTTTTAAAGATGTCTCAGTGCAAGTATTTTCTGATGATTTCATCATATATACAGGCAGGTAATTTTTTAGCACAGGCAGCTTTTAGTAAATAGGTTTCAGTTGGTGAAATGGGTTAGGATTTCTGTTTCTTTTATACTTATGTTTTAATTATTTGAATGTAGTTTAAGTTCCATTAAATTAGATTCAATTAGTTTCAGTGACCTGAGCACCATTTCTGAGGATTCTATTTATGCTTTTATTATATTAATATTCCACCGACCAATTTGCTTTAGAAATAAGTTAGGGATGGAAAAAATTAACTGTCCACAACTATTTGAGGTGTTGCCTTTTTTCAGCCCTAGTCAAATCATTATATACTCCTACATATTACTAAATACATACATATATACATACATACATGTGACTTGAGGTTTACTTTTCCTTTTGCTGGCATCTCATCAACTCATTTCAATCTAAGCAAGGAGACAACGGCAGTTTTTGCTGCTGTGAAGACTCGTTAGAGAACGCCTGCGCAACCGAAGAAAACGGGCCTTAATATGCGACCGCCCCCGTGTGGCCAAACCAAAGCGAACAGCTGAGAAAGACGAAGGCCATCCGCTTTCACTATTACGTCAGACGTAGCTTGTCATGTCTTCCCCAATCCAGAGCTCAGCAGAGGAAACGGCGCCAAGCTGGAAGAGAAGGGGGCGTGGCCTCAATCCGGTTACGCAGAAACGTTTTTTTCTTGACTGCTGTATAATAGTTTAGAATTCCTACACCGGCCCTCCCCAAACGGCAAAGCGCTTTCTTTTCCGTCACGTGACCAATGGGAGACTCATTCTGAAGAGGGGAGATGGCCATGAGGAAGGTACCAAATTATTTTCTTGGAGGTAGAAGTAGAAGTAGGACGTTGGAGTCCTCTTCCATTAATTCTAAATATCGGAGGGGACGGTGCGGGGGGGGGGGGAGGCGGCTAATGAGCGGTGTAGAGAATGAGAAGGATAGAAAGTCACGCTTGCCTAAAAATACGAATATTAAGCTCTGGATGGCTGTAATTAAACCCCGCCTGAGTTTTTCAGGGGTTATGGAATTTTATACTTTTTTAGCCTATATAATGATAAGAAAACATCATTGTCAGAAGTGAGTGGCTTTGTTAGAAGTTGATTTGGTTGCTTTGGCCAATGAGAGATACAATGACTTCAAAATACTGTTTTAGAAGGAAATTGGTATTAAAATAATTATCCTCTTTAATTTTGATTCTGGTCCTGTATTCTCTATGGGTTGGGACCTAAAAGTTTCCTGGTGTGCTTACAACCTACCTAAATAGCCCTGTGTGTGTGGAGAACAGTGACAGTAAAATTTGTTGCATATGAAATGATGAAAAGCAGTAGAGTATTTTGTACTTTGTATAAAAGTATTTTGTACTTTGTATAAAAGTTCAAAAGAAAATGTTGTGAAAGATATCAGGGATAATGTTTAACTGTTCTCTACAACTGACCCTGTGGTTAAAATAAAATTAGGTGATATTCAGAGGTGATTGAATTTTTATTGGGCCATTCTGATTACAAAAGCCTTGGTAGTACAGGGGTTTAAGGCACCCTGTTATTAAGCTTATTAAGACCAGCTGCCTGCAATTAATGCAGGGTTCGAATCTCGCCAAGGCTCAAGGTTGACTCAGCCTTCCATCCTTTCTAAGGTAGGTGAAATGAGGACCCAGTTTGTGGGGGCAATAAGCTGACTTTGTATAAATATACAAAAGGATGAAGGCTATTGCTTAACGCATTGTAAGCCGCCCTGAGTCTTCGGAGAAGGGCGGCATATAAATCAAATTAAAAAAAAAAACAAAAAAACCCCCAAAAGGCATTATGTTGCTTAGTCCTGTGTATATGGCCCTGTGAGTCTAGTGCCAGACTAGACCTAATTTGGGTCATGAAATGTGTGCAAGAAAACAATCAAACTCAGAGTATTGACCCCTCATTTCAACCCTGAGCTACAAATATTCTCCTTTATTGGTATATGGCCGTATCTCCTCCCAATATTATTTTTCACATTACTTCCTTTGGTAGAGTAAAAATTAAATTGATCTGCAGATGTAAAGATTGCCCAGGCATGGTGCAGGTGATAGTAGCCTATTGAATCTATGTAATTAACAATTTTATCATTATTTAAATTTTGGCTCAATGTACAATACTTTGTAACTTCACCTTAGCAGTAAAACTATTTTGTTATATTTATTAGATTTTTATTCCGCCTTTATTATTTCCATAAGTAATTCAAGGTGGCAAACATACATATCAACAACCCTGTGAGATAGTTGGGCTGAGAGAGTAACTGGCCTAGAGTCACCCAGCTGACTAAAATGGCACTAGAACTCAGTTTTCTTTTTTTCTAAAATGGCACTAGAACTCAGTTTTCATTGTGTTGGATTAGAAGATATATTTTGTTTTGTTAGGCACCGTTACATTTGTATATTTGTATTCATGATTATATTAATAAAAATACTGGCAGAAATGGATTTAAAAACATTTTCTTTGCAGAGGAAACGATCATGCTACATGGAACATGCCTGTTTTCCTGATGAGACGCCTAGAGAGGAAGAGAAGAAAAATCCTCATGCTCCAGTGGCTGCTGCTTCTATTTCAGATGCCTGGCATCATTGTGGTGATGGATTTCAGATTTCATCTTCATTGGAGGTTAATGTTTTATTTTTTCCTATAGGAGAGCTTGATCCTTGGTGACGAAGAGTTAAGAAAATTTATATGGAGACTGCAAGATGATTCTTAATTGCTTAGTTACATGGATTTTCTTTCTTTTTTCATTTCCCCATAGCTTTCCAAACTGTTATAGCTAGTAGCTGTTTTTTGCATCCACTTCACTTTGTTCATGTCCATTTTTAAGTAGGCTCCCAAATCAGGTAAACATTCTGATTTCAGTATTAACGTGTGAATCAGGCCTGAATGTAGTACCCTTGAAAACTACTAGAAATTCCAAATTATGCCGAGTGCTGCTTTAAAGCCAATAAAAGTATTTTTTTTTCTGGTGTCACTTTTAGCTTTTTAGGAGCATGTCAGTGACTCCACTCCAAATATTTTTGAGGAAAATCAAAACAAAAGCTTGTTTTCACTTTTTATTGTATTAATATGCGAGGAAGGGAAGTCAAAGTATTGATGACTCAAGGTGCTCCTAATAAATGCCTGGTAATCCTACAAGAAGATCAAATTTATACTTGACTTGGATGTAGACCATCTGCCAGCAAGATGTGGCTAGCTAGGTGATACCATCCTGTTGGAGATTTGCTCAGCTGGGTTTTGAGTTTTGCAGCAATTGCAGGCTCAAAACCAAGGTAGCTTGCATTACTGTTATGGAACAACTTGTTTGTGATGAGGCAAATGGCTAGATGTAAGTTTTTATATAGGCATTAAAGCCAGTAGGGTATCCTCCCTAATTTACTAGCCACTTTAAGCTGGTATTGGAATCCCTTCAGTTTTTTTGTGATTAATAGCTTCAATTCTTCATACCTTCAAGCCAGGTCTAGAAAAGTCCTAGAGTTCATGGCCTCCAATGACAAACACAGGGTTTTCTCAATAAACTCTGGTTTGATACATACAAGTGGTCATACATTAGAACTTTGGAAGGCCTTGGAGCTCTTCAAAAGGTAAGTGAGCGTGCTTGGCCTGGTGGGTGCCAAGTCCTGGGAGAACTGAGTGGGAGTGGGAAAAGACGGGGTACCCAAGGAGAGGGAAGAGCACGCATTCTCAGGGAGTAAGGGAGGGCTGGGACAGGTGGGCCTGGGCCTGTGCTTGTTATCTGTGCTCCATTTAATGAACTGCACATTTGTTTAACAATTGCATTGGGGAGAGTAGTGGGGTATGTGTCATGAAGTGAGATACTTCACTTAACAGTCATTGTGACATGCAACCATAATGTTATTGACATCTCTATTTAAGGTTGATATATGATCCTTTGAGCCTCAGGTTGTATAAAGTAAAATATGTAAAGAGTATAATTAGATGTGATCCTATCGTGCCATTCTTGTAGAAGCTATGCTAATTGACTTATTTGTTTTGGATTGCTGATGTCTCAGTTTACCTGAATGGTAAGAATTTCTCCTCATATCAGTCTGCTTTTATTTTGAGATCTGTTGTGAGACTACCCTCAAAGTACATATTATGACCTGATTCACATGGGCTGGGTCACAATGAGTTTTTTTGCAGAGGAGTTTAATATTGTAAAGATTTTTAAAAAAATCAATTGCTGTACTTACAAAACATTTTAAAGGATAGGATATACATGTATACAGTTGTCACATGTCTTGACTGCAGCATTTTCAATAATTTGAAATTACAGAGATGAATTGATGGAAGTCTGGAAGATGCAGTAAAATCCATTTATTTACTGCCAGGGTAGATAGGAACAGAATAAAACTAACCTGAGTAAAGTTTATTAGTATTCAATGGAAAACACAGTTAACAGTTGTAACAGTTAACAGTTAAAGAATTGGCTGTTTTGTGGCTCTTAAGTTCAGAAACGATAATAGCATTTTTATGTATTTTAAAAGTATACTTTTGATAAAAATTTACAAATATAATTTACACAATACTAAATTATATGTATTCTTCTCTTCTTCAAACAGGCTAAAGAATCTTTAAGAAAACCAGTTAGAGCTAAAAAGTCTTTTGCAACATTGCTTAGCTCAAGTGAAGGTACAATACTGTGTTTTTTCATTTTATTAATATTTAATTTTTAATTTAATTTTTTAAAATTTTTTATTTATTTTTATATGCCACCCTTCTCCGGAGACTCAGGAGATAATATAATAATATAAAATAATATAAATGTTATTTGTATTACACTCATTTTTTCATAGATCATGAATTTGGTGTTGGTTTAGAATAGATGATTGTCTTGGATTATGTTACACAATTTAATCTTAACAGTATTAGAATATACACAGAGTCATCTATGACTAAAACACTCTATAACCCTAAGGAAATAAATAACATGCAACACTATGATTGTAATCACACTTTATGCTAAGATATTGTTGATTTTGATATATTCCACCAAACCTATGAGTTTTTAAAAAAACAGTATAAAGTTTAACCATGTCTAATTGCGGTGAGGGAAATTAATGTGTGTTTTTACTCAGAGTATATTGACAGAAAATATAGTTACATAGATCTAAGTATATATATAGGAATAAGATGTGATATGCTACATTTAATGCACAGAAGAATGTGTTGTAAGAATGAGATTTTACTCCCTTCTTGCTAGAGTGGAAACTTTTTAAATAGTAACAGTGAGTTGTGTGTGCAGATCAGTTAAATTTCTGATAAGCTTTAGTTTTAGTTGGTGAGATAACATAGTGGCTGAGTTCTGTTTAGAAAGATATTGGTTCAGATCTGTCCCTTGAACCAGTAAATGATCTTTGGAAGATAAAACAGGATTGTTGTAAAGAGGGCAACAAGCTATTGTATAAATATTGCTTAGAATTATAATAAAAATTCTGATTACTGTTATACATTCAGCAACTATTTCGTTTAAAGATAAACATTACTTCTTTAGTCTTCAAATTACAAAGTATTATTCAGGCATCACAATAAATTACAGTTTATCAAATCATATCAACTTTTCCTGGGCTTGTATGTTCTTCTTTCATATACTGAAAAAAAAGTTTGTAAATTCTTATTTTTTAATTAATTCTGATAAGCTGTAGTTAATATCAAATATGGCATTTCTACACAGTAAATGTATTCTAAGTCATCATAGTTTAGGGGTCAATGAACATAACATCTTTGAAGAATTTATAGGATGAAAAAAAAGAATGGCATCGGATGGGTATATGAAGGAGACACAGATTTCACCATCACAATAAGCCATAGCTTATTTTAATATCTAAATGTAAAAGCTAAATATCTTCTCAAAAAACATCAAGAATATCTTATAACATGTATGACTTTATTTTGTATATTTTATTGAATGGATTTTAAATGATTTAGTATTTTTTGGTTTTATGTATAATGCCCAATTGGAAATTGCTCCTGAGAAAAATAGAGAAACAATAAAACATAGCTATTGCCATTTGGAAATATTTAATTTCATATAGTTCCTAGATTGGAATTTAAAATCTGTATTGTATGCTGGAACATGTGATAATTTTGTTCCCTTAATACTTTAAATACCGTATTTTTCAGAGTATAAGACATACCGGAGTTTAAGATGCACCTTAGTTTTTGGGAAGGAAAATAGGAGGAAAAAAAATCTGCCTACCAGGTATTCATTTGGCTAGCGTCCTTAGTCTGGTCAGCTTCAGCACATTAGTTCGCTGGTTTTGAGCGTGCATGCACTGGGTTAGGGATAAAAAACAGCTTCTAAAGCACAGCTGATTGTCAGAGGGAGCAGCAATGAGAAAAGCAGGCTAAGAGCGGAAGATTGCTTCACTCGCTAGCGCCTCGTTAGGGCTGAAAAAAGGCTTTGAAAAAGATGACCCAAATTTTCAGCCTTTTAGGGAAAGAAAAGGGGGAAGAAAATGTGTGTCTTATACTCTGGAAAATATGGTACATCACAGTCTTACTGCTGCTTAAAGGTATGCAATATTTGGACCAATTCTATGTGTATTTTTAAGTTTATTATATCAAGTTGATATCCCAGTGTCTGGAGGCCGTGCGGGCCTGGATGGGGAGAAACAGGCTCCGACTCAACCCCTCCAAGACCGAGTGGCTGTGGCTTCCAGCGTCCCGATATAATCAGCTGACGCCATCGCTGGCTATTGGGGGCGAATCACTCGCCCCCACGGAGAGGGCTCGTAACTTGGGCGTCCTCCTGGACGCACGGCTGTCTTTAGAAGATTATTTGACGGCCGTGGCCAGGGGGGCTTTTTATCAGGTTCGCCTGATACGCCAGTTACGCCCCTTTCTAGATCAGGACTCTACGCACAGTCACTCAGGCACTAGTCACTTCCCGCCTGGACTACTGCAACGCTCTCTACATGGGGCTCCCCCTGGGGTGCACCCGGAAGCTCCAGCTGGTCCAGAACGCGGCCGCGCGGGGGATTATGGGGGCGACGAGGCGCTCCCATGGACACCTCTCCTGCGCGAGCTGCACTGGCTTCCGGTGGTCTTCCGGGTGCGCTTCAAGGTGTTGGTGACCACCTTTAAAGCGCTCCATGGCTTAGGGCCGGGGTACTTACGAGACCGCCTTCTGCCACCAATAGCCTCCCACCGGCCAGTACGCTCGCACAGAGTGGGCCTCCTCAGGGTGCCGTCCGCCAGACAATGTCGGCTGGCGACCCCCAGGGGGAGAGCCTTCTCTGTGACGGCGCCCACCCTCTGGAACAACCTTCCCCCAGAGTTACGTACAATAACAGACCTCCGGATTTTTCCTCGGGCCCTGAAAACCTATTTATTTCAACTAGCTGGGCTGGCTTGAGTTAAATTTTAAATTGATTTTAAATTGGGTTGTTTTAATTTACGGCCAAATATTTAATTATTTTAATACTGTTTTTAAATTTTGTATGCTCTGTTTTTACCTTGGCTGTGCACCGCCCTGAGTCCTATTTGGAGAAGGGCGGTATAGAAATTTAATTAATTAATAAATAAATAAGTTAAAAATATAGCTTCATATATTCTGAATGATTAAATGCTGTTTAAAATGGGATTTCTATTGCATTTTATATTTAAGTAATGCAATGTTTTAATTAAAGCTGAAGAAACTAGTAATGTACTACATTTTTTCCAATTATTTTCCATAGAAATCTCTAAAACTGAGCACCTTTGTGAATTTACTGACATTGTATGGAGTTCCAGTGGAAGTGAATTTTCAGATGAGGAAAATGACATTGCAGCCTCAGATTCTCTTTATATGAAAATGAAGAAATATAGAAAGTATGCCTTGATCTCCAAGGAAATGTGTAGTAAAGGTAACACATTTTCTGTACACAATGTAAAAATCAGTTTTCATTCCTAATTTTCAAAAAGCCGTATTTCCCATATTTGCACTTTCTTGTCTCCATAGAGTAAATCCTATCCCCTTTTTTATTCTTTAGACCTGGAAAAATTCTATTCCTGAGGCCTCTACTAATAGTGCTAGTATTCTTTGGAACAGTCTGGTCTTGGAACCTCAGTCCTGAATTCTTTCTACTTTTTAGCATTTTATATACATTGATTTATTTGCTTGGTTTACAATTTACGTACATTTCACAGATCTTACTGCTGTTGCTGTTATTTCTATTATTAAATCTTGGAATCAAATGAAATATCAGGAGGGAAAAGAGGAATCAGTATGTTTATGTGTTAACATTTAATAGGATATTTTTTATTTATTTGATATGCTTAACAGATTCATTCAGATAAATGCAGGCTTACAAGAAAATCAAATAATATATCCATAGTGTATTTCAACAATATGAACATTCATGGACGAAAGAAAATGATAAAACATCTACAGTAAATAGTGTAATAGTAAAACACTCTTCATAAACCTATAATACCATTATTCAAATTGATAACATTCAGTATATCAACCCTATAGTAATTAAGTAATAACATACAATTCACAAACATTGACAAGACACCATCCAATTACCAAAGGTTCATTGTTGTCTGGAATGGCGGCATAGCTGGGCCTAGATTAATATTTATTTAATCAATTTATATCATCACTTATCTCTCGTGACTCTGGGCAGCTTACAATAAAATAGATAAAAAGTAAAAACAATATAAAAAATAAAACATAGCAGATGGACTTGTAAAACAACCATTAATAACCAGGAGATGAGCTCTAACATACCCAGGGCTCTGGGCTCAGGTTTTCAGGGCCAGTCTGACTGTGGAGTAATGATATTTCAGAGGACAGGTGCCATGGCAGAAATGGTCCTGGAAGAGCCCACCAACTAACAGGGTCTATAATATACACTATCTGACAGATTGGCTAGGATGGGTAGAAACAACTGGAAAGAGACTGGTTGATAAGTTATCTGGTCCCAAGTCATAAAGCTACCAACATCTTGAATCACATCTGGAACAAGCTGATAGCCAATGCTAATATTCAAAGGGAAGCTTTCCTATCAACAGCCAGTGCAGTGCCTTTAGCATAGTGAAATATATTTTTCAGCTAGTACCTAAGTTTTTTTCATTCTGCACTAATAGAAGCTGGATGTTCTTTAAAGGCACCGCCATATGGTACTCTATACATGATGATGAAGCATGGATTACTGCAGCAAGGTTTTCTCATTCCAGCTAAGTTAGCTGGTGGGCTAGCAGAAGTTGGGCAATGATCCTCTTGGTCACATCTTCCACATACCTATCCAGCAGTAGCTATGTGATAAGGAAGAACTCCAAGTTGTGGACCTACCATGTCAAAGATACTGTGGCTTCTCTCATGAAATGACATTAGGGCCAGCCAAAACCCTTAATGAACAGTCAGTTTCATCTCATTCAGATACTATCTTCAGACACTGGAACAAAATTTCTGTAACATAACTGGTTTGTCCCACGATATGAATGTAAAGTGGTATCATCAGCATAAACCCAAGACTGACAGATAACCTTCCTCAGTGCCTTTATGTCATTGTTATCAAATGGGGAGAGGAGTGAACTCCATTACTTTCTCCTTTATGACTGAAAATGTCAGCAAACAAACAGAATCACTGTACTGTAGAACAGCAGCTCCAATACTCAACTCATATAAGCAGTCAAGAATGGTTGATCATATAAAATGCTACTGAGAAATGGAGTAGGATTAGAGGGTGGATGCTACCTTCAACTAAGCTCTCCAGATCCAGATCCTGACTGAAAAAGTCCAGATAATGTACTTCTAGGGAGCTTTGTAGATATATTGGTATTTTGTGCAAGCTCAGCCAGTATAGTATGTTTAAATGAGAAATACGTTATTAATCTGTAAGAGTAGTAGCTACATAACAATTAGTAAAATTAATTGGGAAAGTACTTTCTTTTGTGAAATATAACAACTAGTCTTAGTTGTCATCAAATCTACACCAAATTGAGGTCATTAACTTAGATTCTATATAAAAAATTAGATATGCCTGAAATATATATGTGTAAGAATGTTAATAGTTTTAAAAATGTCTAATTTCTGGAAGTTTTTTTTCCTGCTCCTTCATGAAGAACCTGAATTCATTGAGTGGAAGAATGATAGTGATTATGAGCATGATGAACAATGTAGTGAATCGGAAGGTAATGAAGCTCCTTTGGATATATTGGACACAGATTCATGCACAAACAGCACTTTCAAAGCCGATGGAGAGAAGGAAGATGAACCCTCAAAGGTAAAAAAAAAATTGTTTAAGATGGAAGTCTTTTAAGAATGTTTGCTGCCAGACTAAATATCTACTCTATTCGAAAGTGGAGATTATTGAATACAATTTAATGCATTTTAATTTTGTTTTTTTAAATCAGTGGCCCTCACCCTTTTCGGCACCAGGGACTGGGTTCCTGGAAGACAGTTTTTCCATGGAGGGGCAAGGGGGAGGATGGTTTCAGTTTTACTCGCTTGCCTGCCGCTCACTTCCAGCTGTGCGGCCAAGTTGCTAACAGGCCAGGGACCAGTACCATTTTTAAATTATAAGCATTTTTTTAATTAAATGCATGGAATCCTGGGACTTATAGCATCCAAGGAGGAAGAAATGTTTTAATAATAAACAAAACATGGTTCACCAGTTTTGCTCTTTTAAACTTAATATCCTGGTGTCATGGTTCTGAGTAATGGGCCCAATCAATTCAGGACTCTGAAGCTGTGGCTTTTCTCAAAGATCTATTTTATTGAGTACATCATATCAGCACATTCAACTGTGAAACCAATGCTAAATATTTCCCGCATTTTGTTATAATAAAAGAAATAGATATCATCCACCCCCGTAGGCTCACTAGTCACGTTAACCCACCAGGTAGATGGCAGGGCCTTATCGTTGTTATGTCTGGCACTGGGAGGAAATTATCCCACACCCCGTAGTTCCCCCTTCCCCCATATGTATGGCAACTAAAAAATGAAGTAAAAAGAACATGGCTTCAGCTAAACTCATTTTGAGAGTTGACACCTGGTTTATAAAGGGTTTCAATATTCTCCAGTAGAGGGAGACAGGAACCTTTTTTTTAAAGTTTTAATTTAGAAGAAAGTTGATAAAGAATACTTTTTAAAAATAGGTTGTAAAAATTAAATGTTTGGTCAACTATCAGGTAATAAATGCAGGATATCTGATAAATGTGGCATCATTAATCCCAGATTAAGCAACAGGAGCTCTTCAATATTAAAATTGGGGAAATAATATTTAAAAATTAGAGAGAGGGGAAGCATTGTTATTATTTAGTGTAATTTAATTTTTATTGGAACACTGTTCCAAAATGCCAGCAGTGCTACTGAAAAGCAGCATTTTCTGGCCACAGTTCCTTCTTGTTCTCAAAAGTGGGAAATATTTGTTTTTGTTTTGAGTTGAGTAAAGATAGGTTTAATAAATAAAGTCAAGTGGGTTCAAGTAAGAAGTCTGGAGGTACAGTGAACTAAGCTTTGTATGTGTTACATGAACCCAACCATAATGTTTTGTAAATCATGGTTTAGTGGCATGACTGAGCCTATTGGGATGGAAGTGTGCCTTTCACTCTTTTCCCCTAAAAGTTCTCTTGGCTCCATCTTTTATCCTGTAGGAGTGGCATGTCATCCTAGCTGTTACCAAATATCTTCTATATCTGGCATTATACTTGTGATAATGCATCTCTAAATTAATTTTTAAATTTCACTGATCTTTTAATCAAGATCAGAAGAAACACTAAAACCAGTAAAAATAATAAAGTGGCCACAAATGAAAATCAGCTGAAAAGAAACATTAGTAAAAATGCTAAACAATCGGATATGTGCTATCAATAGCAATTATCTTAATTTTGATTACAGGTATCAGCCCTTTTCCCTATTGGGAAATTAATATCAATTTTTATTTAAAACATATAAATGTAGAACAACCTCATTTAGCTTTAAATATTAAAATGGAGGTTTTGGGAAAAAAATTGATTACAAAGTTATTTCAGTCCAGAACAACTGGAAATAAATGTAACAAGAAAAGAATCTTAGAATATATGGAGTAAACACAAGAATTCCTGCAGACCACAAGATGGTGCTATCCTACTAAGAGAAAACTTGCCTTAACACAACTTGCAAATTAACACAAATTCCTTGATGATTGGGTTCCAGTTGACAGTAAATATAATGCTTTAAGAGAGGAGCATATTTTTTTTAATTGAACACAAGAAAAACAAACATTAAATTAAGCAGTTTCTAGCTAAGACACCATGGGGTTGTGATGGGCTGGACACGACTTCGCAACTAACAACAACAAGCTAAGACACCTATTTCTTTTTAGGTAATATTCCTTGAATCAGACTTTCCTTCTCATTTAATCCACCTAGATTTCCCTTCTGTTTTTTGGAAGTTCTAAAGTAAACTCTAAACTTTAAACTTGGGTTGAAGAGAAATTAACTTTCTTCACTATATCATATTCACTATATCACATAGCTTCATATTTGACTCTCTTCTCCTAGAGTTATGTCTTTGGTTTTCAAAAATACAAATGATCTTTTTCCTGGATGGGGTAAGAATGGGGTGCATCTGTCTCTTCTTATGTGTCAAAGTGAGCATCATGTAAAGCAGTGGATTCAAAGTATCTGTGCCTGTGAAGCCTATGTGGCATGAAATAGTGGGACAATTCTAAATATGGTGAATACAGGTTGCCTTTTACAGCAACTCAAATAAGTTAACCAAGAGAACTGCTGTTACTAGCAACTTCTTACATTAAATAGCTTAAAAAGTGTTTATATGCCTCTTAATTCAATATAATAAGACTGTCTTGCCTGTTTATGTGCTTAGTAAATAGAGAAGTTATGGACAAGACAAATGGACAAGACAAATATCTGGATCTACCTTAGATAAGGCAAGAAAAAGTAAATAACAGGTACAGGTAATCCTCGACTTAGAACCACAATTGAGCCCAACATTTCTGTTGCTAAGTGAGACATCTGTTAAGTGAGTTTTGCCCCATTTTACAACATTTCTTACCACAGTTGTTAAGTGAATCACTGCAATTGTTAAGTTAGTAACCTGATTGTTAAGTGACTCTGGCTTCCCCATTGTGTCAGAAAATCCTAAAAGGTGATCACAAGGCCCCAGGACACAACAACTGTCGTAAGTATGAACCAGTTGCCAAGCATCTCGATTTTGATCAGGTGACCATGCAGCAAAGGTTGCAATTGTAAAAAAATAGTTATAAGTCACTTTTTAAAATGCTGTTGTAGCTTTGAACGGTCACTAAACGAACTGTTGTATGTCAAGGACTACCAGTATAGAATAGGTGATACCTGGTTCAACAGAAGTAACTGGAAGAGGGACCTAGGTGTCCTAGTGGACAACCTCTTGAATATGAGCCAGCAGTGTGCTGCAGCTCCCAAAAAAAAGCCAATGCAGGCTGCATCAGTAGAGGAATAATATCAAGATCATGTGAAGTGATAACACCACTTTATGTTGCATTGATAAGACCACACTTAAAATATAGTGTCCAGTTGTCACTCTGACACAGAAGAGATTTTGAGATTCTAGAAGGAGTACAGAGAAGAGCAACAAAGAGTCTACCAAAGTCTAGCAAAGAGAAGGACTAGAGGTGACATGATAGCAGTCTTCCAATAGTTGAAGGGCTATCATAGAGAAGAGGGATCGACCTATTCTCCAAAGCTTTGAGGGCAGGACAAGAAGTAAATGATGGAAGTTTATTAAAGAGAGATCCAACTTTTAAGGAGAAGTTTCCTAACAGAGAGAACAGTTTGCTGGAACAGCTTGCTGGAAGTTGTAGGTACTCTATCACTTGAGGTTTTCAAGAAGAGATTGGACAGCCATTTGTCTGGAGTGGTGTAGGGTCTCCTGCTTGAGCAGGGGGTTTAGAAGACCTGCAAGGTCTCTTCCAACTCTTTTATTTTGTTAGATATGGTTCAAACAGAAATATGAAGAATCTAGTCTACATCCTTAGTTGTGATTATTTTTATTGTTCAAGTGCAGACTTAGAAAAATGAATATGTAGTGAAAGCTGATACTACTGCTACATGTTTCCATATATGATTAAATACTGTATGCATAGGTATTGGAGCTAAGTGTACAAATATCATTTTATTTGCTATATTAGTAATGGTTGATTAACTTTTCTAACACCATGTTCAGATAATAATATCTTACCACAATATATTTTTATAGAATTGTACATTGTGGCACTACATAGATTGGTTGTCTCCCACCAATTTTTTTTCTCCTTCATATATGCCAAAAGTTCTAGTTTTCTTTTTTTGATAAAACAATAAAATTATGTTTCATACTTTGAAAATAAACCATGATATTAAGCAACTTTAAACCATAGCATTACCTAGCACTGTATTTTGAAAGCAAAGTAAAATCTGGTTTGAACTTAATTGAACATTTAGTATTTAATATACGATTTAAATACACAAATCCTTGGATTGTGTGAGTTTGTTTCTTTTTTGTTCCTGACTGACGTCTGTCATTTTTGCCATCTTTTATTTTTGTCTCCTATTGTATTTTTAATGTTTTTACGTTTGAATTACCCAGAGTTGTTGGTAGTCAGGTGAAATACAAATTAATTATCATCTCTTCACAACAATGTGAAGTCACAGCTGCCAGTTCTTTAGATGGTGTTGGAGTTCATATGCATCGAGTTCTTCCCAAGAACCAAGGATGCTGTAATGTATCCACATAGTATATGTTCAAATCCAAGCAGTGTGGCCTTTTGTAGCTGTCAGATGGAAATATCAATAAGTAGAATTTCTAAGGGCTGTCCAAAATTTTTTGTGATCATACCCAGTGTTCCAATAACCTCTGGGACCACTACAGCTGGTTTATGCCATAGTCTTTCAATATTGATTTTCAGATCTTGATACTTTGTGATGTTCTTCAATTCTTTGTGTTCAACCCCTTGGTATCAATTATCCATACTTTCCTCTTTTCAACCACATTTATATTTGGTGTGTTACGAGCCTAGGCTTTATTAATCTGCATTAGGAAATTCCACAATATTTTAACCTGCTCATTTTTGACTATTTTTTCAACTCTATGTTCTCACCAATTTTTCATTAATGGTACATGGTAATTTTTACAGGTGTTCCTGTGAATCATTTTGGCAATTATGTTATATCATTGTTTATAATCAGTTTGTGCAATCTTCTTGCACGAGATGAATACAAAATTGGTTTCTTCTGCTTCTTTTCAAAATCATTTGTTGATTTT